AACAATTTGTTAGGGGCTAGTTTTTGTGGCCAAAAGTGAATAAACGTGGGAGAGAAGAGATGAGGGGTTATGGTGAAATACTTGAGGGTTTTTTTATGCCACTTGAAAGAAAAATAGAAGGAGGGTCTACTGTGACATAAGATGGGGAATTAGGGGTTTGTACAAAATTTTCCCAAAAAATTAATAGATATAAATATAACCCTCACTTTGCTTCAAGCCAACGTCAAATGGTGTTTTCGTTTGTATCTCTTCTCTTAGAATGCCTCTTTGTGAGGGGTCTTGGGTTCGATCCCTCATCCGGTACTTTTTTTTTAATTCCCGTTCATAAAAATTAGAAAAAATATAAAGAAAGGCAAGGCCTTGGTGGGATTCAAACGTACTATAGAGAAAAATTAACATACGTACTATCTGGCATGCCCTTTGAGTGTTTTGAATTCGAAATGATACATTATTCTACATAACCAAAAAAATCAACGTACAACAAAACTCACCTCGCCCTATGGGCAAGGTCGAGTAAATCGGATGAATCCAAATGGACTCAATCATGTCAAGATACATTGGTTCAAATCATATAATGCTACCATAAAAGGACTGGAACCATAAATATCTTGTTTCCTAAGGTCTGTGTTGTTCCATTCTTTGCAAACACCGGAGGATCTCTTTTTAGAATGCGGAATAAATATCAGATGAAGCTGGATGGTTATGTATCTATTACAAATTTGGGTTTCAAATTAGGGCCGCCAATCAATTACTATTTATCTAAGCCCACATATCCATCTCCATAATGCTTTAAGTGTTCCTTCATTTGGGTTTAACCTTCTCTCTATTAACAAACTCACATTTCTCAACCTTGCCCATGATTCTTGTGTTTTCCAAGACCATTCCAAGAAGATCACGATTGGAGTGGCTAAACAACATGGTGGTCTCTAATATTTTCATGCTTTTGACATTCCTAGTATTGCTCTCTCAACAAACTTGCTAGTTTTGATGCCTGACATTCACAACTAGGCCTTGTCTCTTCAAGAAGAATAAACACTTTGTCTAAGACTGTTGGCATTACAACCAAGTCAAACGTTGTGTACACACACATATATATATATATATATATATATATATATATATAGTAGGAAAGAGTGGTAGTAGCCTACTACGCTACATATACGACCAATATAGACGACCCGAAACCGTACCCGTAACGTACTTAGT